TATTTTATACTTATCAGTCATTTTACGGCTCATCCAAAATCCTGATCCATGCTACGCACCAAGCAGCTTTGATATCTAACAATACAGAAACTTAAGTAAATGAAAATGTTTACTGTTTTGAAAGCTTTATTAATTTATTCATCTTTTTTCATATTACATTATATGTAAAATGCTCAAGGGGTTTCATAGCGTGTTGAAAGGCTTTTTTGCTCCTTAATTTAATTATACGATTGCTTGAATAATATTGCGTGGGACAAAAGTGATGTTCCTTATGCGCAGCTAAGAGACACATCATACCGATTCATGTTGAATGTTTAAAACTGAATAGATATCATTATGATATGCTCATGGCAACTTATAGTTACAATTCAGAGCTGATCCAGTTATGAAAAGATAGTTTTAAACAAAAGCTCATTTGGAATATGCACATAATTATTCATAAGGGATTTAAACGTGTTTCCTAGTCTCATCGGATTTTGTCTTCAGTACTCGAAAGTCAAAGCCATATACAGATATTGTGTATTTAACAGTTGATTGATTTAAGTTGTGAAATCCTAATTATTATTTTGTAAAGTGTCAGTGTTCCCATCACTATTTTATTTCTATCTTTTAATGAAAGCTAAAGCATACAGTTGTTGTGAATAAACAATTATTATCACTAAATGCTAATATCCAACTGATATCATGAATTTGAAATACGATAGTATTTCTTTTAAAATTTTATTATAGCTTGATTCCACATAGTATTATGGTACAAGTATGAAATTTTCAGCATGTGATATCGGTAGCCCAAATTTAGCAGACCGACCATAGATATCAGGTTTGCGTCGCCGAGGGATCGAACCTCGGACCATGTGCATGATCGGCGACAGTTCTTACCACTGTGCCACCGGCGCACTGTTTTCAACATACTTTACTGGAATTCTGTTCAGTGGAAATATTTATTCCTGAACTAAGATTGTTTTGGTAAACTCTTCCAGATTATTCTTCGTCACAACTTCCTATCTTCTTGAGAAATGTTTTTCACAGATTTTAAAATGAAACCAAAGTATCCGTAGTATTATGCCGGTGAATCCACAAGGAGACAGTCACAGTTGACGTGAATCAATAGAAAAATAGATTGTTAAAATTTAATCATGCATGACTCAGATTCTGAAAGTTTTAGCTGTGTCAAATGCTACTGAGAATTACACGAGTTGACAGGAGGAAATTTAACTTTCAATACAAGTAAGTACATGACTTCGAAGTCAAAATAATAAATATTGCCACATAAAATGGTATTGTGTCAACAAAATTGTGAAACAAATGTCACTGAGCTACTCGTAGTTAAACAACTTTGCAGCACACTACTTTAATTATTTGCAGTGTATCACTATTGCTGCATATTATACATGCACCCCGAAACAGTTTCTGATATAATTTTCATATGCCTTTAATGGTTATTTGTATTGTAATATTCATGGATTTATAAATGTAAAGCCTGAGGAAAAATTTGCCACAAACAACTGTTTGGTGAAAATGACATTGTTCTAATTTAACTGATAGAATTCAGTCTGAACCAAACGAAGGACTAGATGCATTGCACTAGTTACTGACTAGTGTCCAATCAAAAGAATATCCAGTACAATCCTACAGAAGGTCAAACGTCAGCTCGAATAGCTCAGTGATAAGGTCTCTGACTGCAGCACTGGGTGACGCGGGTTCCAGTCTTGAGAAGGACATGAGTTCCTTCAAGGTAACAGATATGCTGTGCTTACCAGTGAATGCCAACTGCCTCCAACTATCTAAGACTTTCAGATCTGTTGTAAATCTTGCCGATATGTCTTTCAAGTATGTTTCTGTCCATGCAATGACTAAACTATTTTTTGATTCGTTATCAGTTTTTAATTCCTCTACGTTCCCAGTGGAACATAGGGCTTCAAGCTAGAGGCTTGAAGTTTCTGTGGCGGTGGTGATTATTTTTATAGGATGGGGTTGCTAGCCTCATGACCAACCTTCCCTCTTTACCAGTCCTACTAATGGCTTAGCGAGGTAAGGGAGGAGTGCGTTGGCCGAGGATCGAACCCCGGACTACCTGAGTGGTTGGCGAGCATCATAACATTGTGCCACCAACGCACAATACAGTGAGTGTCAACTATAATTTTCCATCACACACTCTTTATCTGGACAAAAAGTCTTGCAACGTAACTTGAAAGGTTTAAACTTGGTTTCATTTTCTTGCTTTGTTATTACTATCTAGTAAGAGTTGTAATAGTATGAATATGTAATCAAAATAGGGAAAGTTAAATTCTATATTGTTACATTTACCGAATTACATGCTACCAAATTGATGAAAAGGTGCTGTCATGTTGCTAGAGATCATTAAAACTGGAGTCGACCATATTATTGTGGATGAGTGATTTTGAGGCTTAACATAATAAAATAGTGCATTTAGTTTATAGCGTCTACTTCGCATATCGACTGAAATATCATTTATCATCAAATTATTTTTGTCCGAATCCATTTCATACTCCAGTAAATAAATGCTTGTGTTTAACATTTAAATGATGTGGTAATTAGAGTAAATATTTTGTTCAGATATGTATATTTATCAAAGTAAGTGAGTTTACGCCTAGAGTTATACATGAACCAAATCAATTAAAACACACCGCGTCTTTTGCTTTATTTTCTCTTCTTAGTAATAAATATTAAATTTCTGATAACCATCTTTAAATACAGTTACACTAATCTGTTCTTTCTATGAATGTCAAGATAAGGGTGAATGTGAAAAGCTATCATAACTCTGAGTCAACTGCCTTCTGATCTTGAATAATAGAAATTTAATAATATTTGGTCGAAAATATATATACGTTTACATGTGTTTCGATAATTTACATATTGCTTTGTGTACTGCCTATACTCAAGTAGAGAAGAACAAATTATTGATCATAAAATAACCGAAGTGTAATTTCAGTTGGTTGTAGTTTAGTTGATTTTTAAAGAAAATAATATTTAAATGTGCTTTGGTGAAAATCTTAATAAAGTTAACTAATAAATAATATGTTGTAAGGTGAATCTTGGATGCTGAAGAGATTTATATAATCTTATATCCTAAAGATATAAGGGGAAGGATGAAAGCAGTTCGAAGAAACGCATAATTTTATACACGAAACATCATAGCATACAATAAAGGAAGATTAACTTGCAAAATTTTTGGAAAAAGGTAAAATACCTCAAGTAAACTCCGATATTAATAAATACTGTCTATGATAATTCAAGTATTTATTTCTCTCGAAAAACAGAACCAAAATTACATCATATAAAATGTAACCAAACTTGTATTCCTTTCTTTCCAACTCTCTAGTTTTCATGCTTTTGATTTAGCTTTTGATATTGCTTCGACTTTCAAATCGTACTAACCATCAAACTGACAGGTTTTATTCAGCTTTGCCAGCCTGAATCATTACATAGTTATGTGAATTTTCATATTGTTTGTAAATGTCAAACTTTCTATTTGTTACAGTAGAAGGGAACCTTGCCTTCAAAATTTTACTGAATCCCAAAAGAAAACAGAGTCATTATTTCCGTTCAGTTAGATTTTTTCGCATTTTTGTGTGTGTATAAAAAATGGGTTTTAAGACTCGCGAAAGAAAGAAAGTGAAGGAAATATAGCCGTTTGTTCACATAAGGAGAAACTTCAATTAACTGAAATTTAAACGTTTCAAAATAATATTTCATTTTATATCTCCACTCTAAGCATGAAATAACGCAGGTACTCAGTAGTTAATAGTGCTCCATTATGGATAAGATTTTATTTTGATAAATCACACAGTGTTACACAGTAATATTAACTGATGACGTTTCGAGCATAAAGTATTGCTCATGATCATATCAAGTTACTCACACAACTTTTTCCTTCATTTATGTACATGTTTGGGATTGACTAGAATTGTGCTCGAAACATCATCAGTTAATATTACTGTATAACACTGCGTGATTTATCAGAATAAAATCTTATCCATAATGGAGTTACACTTTACCACAGTGCACAAGTTTAATACTTATATTATTACTGCTCTTTTTCATTGACCTAAATCATCTTAAAAAGCAAGCTAAATTTGCAAAGTGTGAGTATCCTCTGATGTTTCATTTAAAATATTTCACCAAACTAGTAGCCAGTCAAAAACCAGTATTGTGTAATATAAAACAAAGATTGATTTGAGTGTCTCTTTATTGCTTATCATGGCTGTAATATGTGTTTCACTTGTTATAAAGATAACATTATCCGGTCGATGGTGACTAGCAGTGGGATTGAGAATGCGCATTTCTTCCTATCCAGGACACATTGCCTGCATGTATCTGCGACAATCCAATCGATTTATAGGAAAAGATGAAATTCACTCAAACAAATAATAGCTGAAAGCTTTTGCCAAGTGAGGGCTCTCATGGCCCAGTTGCCTGGTGGGTAACGCTGTGGCGTTAAAAAAGATGGGCGTTATATTTGAACCTCACTTACTGGAGATTGCAGTTGCATCCAACTGGGGAATCCTAAATAGGACGAAGTGCGTATCCTGGATTCCAGTGCTGGTTTCCACCAACCAAATGGCATAACTTTAATCGTCAAACACTGTCGAAACGTCTGTACTAGGAGCCGACACGTCACAAGTGGCTGAAAATTTCTGTCTAATCAATCAACAGAAAAAACAAAGCTGACTTGAACACTAACAAACACAGCTGTTATATATTTTTTTTATTTCCTACCCGGTTAGTTATTCAGTATGTTCTACTAATTAGGCTTAGAGAATGATTAACTGAGCGGAGTCATATAAAGGAAACTGTACAAAATTCCAGTGGTTATATACAGTTCAAATGCATTCTGGTTTCCAGATTTTCACTGGTATGAATTTTCACCACCTTCATAAGAAATCTACCTCTGCCAGCATTCCCTTTTATTAAAAAAATATACTAACAAGTGTCAAAACTGTACAGAAAACAGATTTTGTTTTTTAAAATCAACTTACTTATCAAAAACTTATGATATAAAGAACATGGAGTTGACAGATTACTTCCATTATTTTACCAAAATATTAAATACTGAGCTAATAATCGCCTGTCAGCACATGAATTTTTAATTCACTTGTAATTGTAATTTACATAAGAATAAAAATTAATAAAAATTTTTGCTTTTCAGAAAACAGAAAATAAACATGTCTTCATAGTTCAGTGAAAAGTTAACGAATGCGAAATGAGATTGATTCACTGTGGGATAATTTAACGTCGATATAGACTGATATGATGAACCAATCGGAATACAAGAAATTGTCTAGTCATTTATATTGTTTATTTTCACTATTTTGCTTGTTTGTTATTGAAACTGGGAAATGTTGCCAGCGGTTTATGATGAAATTTGATAAGTCTGTCTAAAATGTTACAGTAATGATAGTCTGGTAAGTTTCTGATAGACAACAATAAGGATAACGATAGAATTTTTAGTTGGTCTTTAATAGAATTTTCTGAGCCTACCTACATATTTATTTAGGATACTGATTTTCTTCTTCCTGTCTGTATTTACTCAAAACATTTCTAGGATTTATGTGAAAACAGTAAAGTCGTATAAAATTTAATGAATACCCAGTAATTTATTATATCTCGGTGGATAGAAAGACAATTCCTGATTGCTATTTACTGTGCTAAACGGATCAGTTTGTGTAATCGGAAAATTTTGGGTCTCCGAAAGAAAATGTAGTGCAATTCCATCCTGAGCTATGAAATATGCAAGCAAAGAATTTAGTTGGAAACGAACATTGTCTTCCACTTGATTCAAAGTATGCTGCATGACTTGTGCTATCGAATTTCATTAAATGACAACTCTTTTCCCCAGAAGTTTCACTCTGCTTGATTTATTGTGGTGGATAAACGATAAATCAAATATGTCACATGAAGTCTGACTGCTTTTTAGCCAACTAATTCACGTTTCAAGTATGTGCCATTTTTTCTAAGCTCATTTCATGCTAAGAAATGAACGAAAATGCCGTAAACGCATCAATTTGAATAAATGAAACGATTTTAAAAGTTATTCAGGGTAGGGCAAAATTCGACAAAGAGGCAAACCACAGGTCTGTAAATACTGAATCACGCGTTTTAACTACAAACATAACTTCACTGAATATCTTTCTCAGCAATCACTGTTTCGGATGTTAACGTCAACTCTATGGATAATGAGGCTCAAAGGTGTTTTTTATATGACTGACCCATAATGTGAATTTTCCCATCAGTTTTAAAACTATTTCTCCTGCTATTTCTAGGGCTGTTTGTCTAGTGATTCCATATCTGACAAGCAACGACCACTATTAATGGAAGAAATTCGATCGAGGTTACTCCTTTCACTTATTCAGGTAGCATCGTTTCAAATACTGGAATTTTACACGAAGATGCCAGTGGCAAGATTGGTAAAGCAAGAAAGACATTAATCACTCTTAAATGAGATTGGAAATCTGCTACAATCAGAATCCAGAACAGGATCCGGATTTTTAACAATGATGTCAAGTCACTTCTTTTGCAATGATCAGAGACTTGGTGGGTCACGAAAAACATTCCCAACAGGTCACAACAGACGTTTTTCGCCGTCTGTTTTAGCTCCCTACTAGAGATCAGATGAGCGAGAGGAAGAATGAGCAACAGGGAACACTGCCAACAAGCCAACCAGGAACCCACTACCAAACAAGTATGTAGGACAAAATGGAGATGGATAAGACTAAGGCTGAGGAGAGAGCTGATTGACATTGCGTGTCAGGCCCTCAAGCAGAAACCGAATAAGAAACAGTACGTTGTTCGTGGATCCGAGGTTGACAAGGAGGAGATGAATGCTTGTGGGTAATCATGAAGGTATCTAGAGGGGACTGTGGAAAACAGGATGAAATATGGAGACCTATGCTCCACACGGGACCCAAGGGCAATAATAATAAATCTCTAAATGTTAATATTGGTAGCTCATATAAACAGATAAGATATTTGTCTTACTCTTCTCTTTGTTGCTGTTCTTAATTGCATTATTCTCTACCCCACCTCTATTAATCTCTACCTCATGACGACTGTTGCTAACTCATTTCGTTTTTTAAGTGAATTCTACTCAGCTTATCAACTTAACTCTCACCCATTTTCAAGTGAATTCTACTCAGATTATTAACTTGACTCTCATTCATTTTTTCATTGAACCCTAGCAATTAGATTACGTCACCCAACCTACTTTTGTAACTTTATTTTAGTTTCTAACCGATTAACGCCTTCTAAATTACGTAATTTGTTGTCAAAAAAAAATTACCAATTGCATCTTTGGAAATATTCCTTTTGTTACCAAGAAAAATTACTATAAATTTGCGGTTTGTACAGCTTGAGAATGATATCGCCGAAAAGAGTAACTCTTTGCTGAACGCCTTTTCTCTTCTAAGATAAGAAAATGTAACAATGGTGCAAATTGTAGTCAACCTTCATTTCCATGAACAGATGTTTAAAATATTTCAGTAGATCTTAAATATAAAAAGGAAGGACAATAATGTTGTTACAGTGTAATGTAATTTATGCACTAAGATGACTGAAGTATGAATTTCCATTTTTACAGTACAGACATATTGAAAGCCAATTTTTTTAAATTTTCAGTTATACACAAAAACTGTAGAATCACAGCAGACTGGAACTCTTACAAAATGCTCCATAGAAGAACACACAAGACAAAATTAACAATATAAGTGTAACAATAACGATTTCGTTGTTTATTTCTCTTGGCAAACTAGTCGTTTGGAATACTGCCACTGATCCTCTGAGATTTGACTGTCCGGTGTGATGGAAACTGTGAAAATAATATATAAGGTCTTCAATTACCATTTAAATCATTATAACCAATTAGTGAATAACGATGAATTCACAAATCACTGGCTGATAGGTTTTTGTACGTGACATCAGTATTGAGAGCTTAGCCTAATACACTGTCAGCGGTTTGCTTAATTTACTGTGCTACCTAAATATCCATCCAACATTACATTTGAATTCTCCTGCATTTCTTATTACTTTAATCACCATATAAAATCTTTCACACTTTTAATGAGCCTTCAGCAAAATGCTTTATAGTCCCTAGAGAAAGTGACGGGAAAACATAGTAGAAAATTGAATTTTTCTTCATATGGAACAATACTACATCACATGATATTCTGCATATAACTATTTCACTTGTAAATCCTGTACAAGGAAGAAATATTTTGCAACTAAATATTATTTGCCTGAGATATTTTCAATCAAATCAATTAAAAAAAACCAATTCACGTTTCCTTATTGAATGAGAGGAGTAGAAACATAAGATTAAATCACAGTATATTCGATCACATGAGGATATAAAAAACAGAAAGGAGCAATTAGGTGCATGAACAGTGTAAAATTCTCTAATGTAATGAAAATGAAAAAACATTAGAATAAAAAATATTCCTGCAGTTTGTAATACCTCATATTATGTCAAGAACTGAGAGATAACGTCATCTACGTACAACAAAGTACGTAAGAACAGATAAATGAAATCTTGATAAGTAATAATCTAAAGGTAATATTAGACACTGTTTTCGTATTGACGCCTAATAGAGTGAGTTTTCCTTTCTGAATAATTGGCACTTCAAATTTATTTTCTAAAAAGTTTAAACTCATTCCTGAACTATTTCTTCCTTATTTCATTGTTAAGCGTTTGAAACTATTGTTCCGGGTTTAAAAGACATTCCATCTGCTTAAAAGCTGATTTCGTTTTGAATTGATATGTTGTCAAAGACACAGTTAAAAATCGGCAATTACTGAAACCCGTGTTTTGTTCTTCTCTGGTATATCACAGAGTATGTAGATAATGCTCACGACATAAATTGTCTCGCCAACGACTCTTGGCATACGTTAGGTATCGTCCATTCTTAGTGTGTCAGTGTGCCAGAACTATTCGCCTCATATTCTCACTAGTCACTGTTATTACTAAATGTTTAGCTGTAGTCCCATGTATAGTATAATTCATCACGGGATTCTGCTGTTTACACTAATTTACATCTCTTAACTAATTCATCATTGCATATATATATATATATATAACAGACAGACCATTATATATGCTTCTACCTCCTCATACACATATTACTCTGCCCCATGCTAGTTTTGTTGTTTAGCTAAAGGTAAAACTATTTATTATTTCATTTAAAAAAAATTCATCCGGTGAGTGTAATGTCAATTTATTCATAATATTACTACATTAGTGTTCAAATCCATTTTACTAATCATTTTATACTGATTATGTTTTATTTTTTGTGATTTCATAATTTTATAGCATAATTCGGAAGTTACGGAGGAAAATAGTTCACTCAAAATTATTATGCAATCAACTAATGAATATTTATCAGGAACTTTAGTATGTAAACATACCTTTGCATGTTTTTGGTAAGGTATTTAAGGGACAATTAGTGTATGAATTAGGGTAAAAATAGATGCTTCTTAAATGGTATATTTCATTTTTTTAGTAAAGTGTTTGTTACCTGAGCCTGTTTCGTTATTCTGCTAGCTTGAAGGACTTCATTCACATTCTTGTCTTCATTGGTTTATTATTATTATTGTTCCCTTGGGTTCCTAGTGGAACATTGGGTTTCAACTGCACGCCTCCACTTGCTTCTGTCTTCTGCCGTGCTTTTCACTTGCATCCATGTTATTCCATACTGTTTCAAATCCTCTTCACACGATCTCCTCCATGTCACCCTTGGACGTCCCACTCATGGCTTCCCTTTCGGGTTCCACTTGACGGCCTGACTCGCGATGTCACCCAACGGCCTCATCAGCGAGTGTCCAATCCATCTCCACTTTCTCCTGCATATTTGTTGGGCGATTGGTTCTTGTTTTGTTCGTTCCCATAGTCTCTTGTTGGTGATTCTTTCCGGCCATCTGATCTTCAGCATAGAGCGAACATAGCTGTTGATAAAGGTCTGCAGCCTGTTGGAAATATTCTTTGTGACCCGCCACGTTTCTGATCTGTATAGAAGAACTGACTGACTTGACGTTTGTGTTGAAAATCCGAATTTTGTTGTTGATGATGAGTGACGAAGATTTCCAGATTGGTTTCAGGTTGATGAATGTGTTTCTCGCCTTCCCGATTCTCGATTTGACATCCTGATCCGTTCCTCCTGTAGTTGAGACAATGCTCCCTAGAAAAGTGAAAGAAGTAACCTCTTT